AAAGACAAATATTGTTGTTCAAATCTATTCAAAGGGGAAGAGGAGCTGTCAGAGGATACGTTCAATGTTATACGGCAAGCACACCGAACCACCCCACACAGATGTCTTGAGGACAGAACTGAATCATTGAACAAGGTTGTACGCCGAAGAAAATGGAAGGAAGATGAAGCAGCAATACGACAGGAGAAACGGTTCTATTTCGAAGGAATTCCATAAGGGAGACGACGTGTACGCGCAGATGTGGAAAGCCCCACACTCCACATGGAAGCAAGGAGTTGTCGCAAAACGCCTTGGGAAGGTCAACTATGAGGTCCCCGTGGAAGGAAGACTGATGCGGAAACACGCAAACCAATTACGACACAGCAACACAAGGACAAGCTGGAATCGTGTAGACAAATCGTTGAAAACCCTGCTCGACATGTTAGAATTGGATGACAATCGGCTAAGAAGCAACGACGAGGTTGCTAGTGACTTGGACGTCAACACCGCTATACCGTGCTCTCCAGAACCATCACTGCGACGATCGACTAGAATACGAAGACCTGTGAAACGATATGGCATTGATGTGTAGATTCAAATTTCGAATGCTTTGTTCCCTTGTAAGTAGAAAGACAAATATTGTTGTTCACATCTTTCCTTGTCTTTCTACTGGGGGAGGTGTTGTATAGAGGAATGGACTCTGATAAAGTGTGATACTGCGACGAAACGCTTCAACGCGCTTAAAGACCGCTCCCGCGATAAAAGTGTCATGGATAGTTGCTTGTTCAATTATGAAACAGTAGCTGATAAGTAATCCCCAAAGAAGAAAACAAGCAAGAAGCGTCCTCCAGAACAACATAAACAAAATCGCTCCCTCACAGTCACACCTCCCTGCGGTCTCTGTGCAACCCCTAGCTCACAAATCTCTCTATCACGCAGTAGTTGATATTATCCAGTGAAAACAAAAGAACACAAAAAAGAAACAACAAAAACGCAGAGGAAAACTCTTGGAAGGAAAAAGAAATTTTAAAAACTCGGTGTCCGAATTTGGGGTTACGGTAGCGCACATTTTAGTGTAGTGAAGTGCGTCGAGCTTTTGCACCACGAAAATTGCATCACTCGTGATTTTTACGCGTTTCACCTTGCGAAATGGGTTGAGTTGAATGTATATGCCCCTAAAGAATCCTACTATATGTAATCCGCTAAGGTGTCTGTTGGTGTGTGTGTGAATGTGTGTCTGGCTGTATGTGTGTTTGACCCGTAATTCATAACTTCCTTCAAAAGAGCGATGGAGCGCTCAGATAAGTGATCTAGGGGGTCGGGCATGAATATTACTGGAAGGGGGAAGGAAGTGATGAGCGTTGATAAGATACCATAAGGAGCCTTAGAATGTAAGGGTCACCAAATCCATAGCGCGGGCCACAAAC